AAATAACAGATTTTTTTCATATGATTTTTTTTTTTTTTTTTTTTTTTTTAAAGCACAGCGTCATGGATTCTTTGTGATACTTGGACATCTCACATCTATCAGAAAACTAAAAATGCAACATTATTGGTCCTCTACGAGGATAATAATAATAATAATAATAAATAGTTTCTTGAAGAGTCTTTTTTTTTCTACAATCAGGTGAATCGTTGCTCTGGAAAACAGAATAGAATGCTTAAAAAATAAACTTTAGTGCCGGTTAGTTTTGGCTTGACTTTCTAACCAGTATGTTTGACGATTAGTTTTAAGTACATACTCTATAAAATGGATTAGAAGATTGTAACCATGTGTGACCACAACAGTCAGCCCAGGCCACGCCCCCAGATGATAGATCTGCACCTGAGGTAACAGCTACAGGAGCCACCATGGCAACCGCGTTTTACTTAGTGTTTTGCAGCATGTACTATCTTGTACAATAGTAACAGTACATGTCACATAGGGAACTGGGCTGTGCCTGGTATCTTTTGGGTATTCTGATGCAGATTTTGGGAAATTTCTCAAATGTATAATTGAAATTTAAGTTTATTTTGGTAAAACGTGCCTTAGAATAAAAGGTGAAACTTTGCTCATCTTTCCTATATTGGAGGTGTAGTGCGGCCATTTCACTCCTGTCATAAAATCTAGAAATGGAGAAGAATTTAGGGTCTGTGTTTTAGTAAACCCAGATGTATGTAGACTGAGTTTGAAGAAATTCAAACAACTCTCACTGGTCTGGTGTTTATCAAACAGAAACATGTTGGGTAATCATAACTGACCCAAAACAGAAAAAAGTTTTGTCAGATTTAGTTTAAAATGTTGAGAAAAAAACAGTAAAACATTTAGATTAAAATGTCTGCTTTAGTGTGGTGTGTGTGTTACTAAATGGCTTCAGAAGTAGAGAAACTAACAAAATGTAGCATAAAATGTGTTTTTCCTGTTGTTTCTCCCTCCAGCTGGTCTGGGCAGCTTAACACCAGGAACTTCTCCAATCATTTAAATCAAAGAGAAATCCAAACAAAGGTCCAAAACAAGTTGATAGTTCCAAATTTAATACTGCAAGTATCAACAGTTTTACTAAATCTGGACACTTGCAGGCTGCAGTCAGCAGACTGCTGTGTTTGTTATTGCAGAAATCATTCCAGTACTTGATTTATGTTATCCAACGCACTTCCACTCAACTTCCAACTGACGAGATCAAACTTCCTGACACTATTTGTGTGTTTAAACTCGCCATCCTGTGTACAGCAGAGCAAGTATTTCCCAAACACTCAGTTCCTAAACTTGAACTAAATTTGGAAACAATTTCGAGCCAGAGAATTATGCAACTCTCGAAGATATGTTTTCAGCGACACTGTGTCCAAAATGCATCCTTTCACTTCTTTGTCTTGTACAGATGATCTCTAACCAGACATCCTGACCACCTGATTTTATTACCAAATGAACACAATAAATATGAAAGTCTAATTCACATGAAAAAAAGAGAGAAAAAACCTAGTAACAACAGGCCCCTTCTATGGGACCCTTCATTAACCATGAAGTACAGGACAGAGGATAGAGGATAGAGATATTTGCATTTGCTGCAGCTGCCATTAACAAATAAAATGCAAATGTTGCCATAAGGAGGATATATGTAACGATGAAAAGCTAATGTCATAATCTGAATTAGTTGTACATATTTAACATACAACAGCGCAGTGAATGGGGAAAACACATAAAACGTGTTCTAGGCACCTATGTTGTTAGATAACTCTTGACTTTTACAGCATCGCTGCATGTAAATCTTTGAAATGTGATAAAGCTGTCGTATAACAGAACACGCTCCTGCCTGCTAGTGCAAGCGAAAGATGAGCAGAAGTAAGGGGTGACATTTCTACCCACCTTTCGCCATGAATGAATCAATAAAAGCATCAAACACGCAATGCTGACAGCCTGACGAACCCTTCACCAGCTTTCCTTTTTGATCTCTTGCCCAGCAGTTATTGCAATGAGTATGCAGAAATTTTAACTGATAAAATTCAGGCGACAGGTCAAATAGCATGTGGCTCCATGGATGGTAGCTTAGTAGTTCTCCAGAAACTCCAGATCATCCAGACAGTTTTCATAATAACTGATTAGCTAGCAAACTAACTTTTTTTTATGTTTAGCTTAGTACAGTGTCTGGGCTTTTAGCAATTGGGAAACTATTACTTCCTGGAGGCGTGGACTCTGTTGTGGTTTTAAACAGACTGCACGCCTTCGATCTGATTTCACCCAATCACTAATGTTTGGCTTTAATGCACCACCTTGGTTGTGAAGGAAGCTACGCTATGAAGCTAAGTGGAAATTGCCTGCGCTGTAAACAACCACTCACCAGTGTCAAGACAAAAGTGATGAGCCGAACAAGATGGCTGTAATAATAGTTGCAGGACACATCATCTCCACCAGTAATAAAATGTTTTAAACAAGACCAGAACAGACTTAATGGCTTTGTTCACTTTGCTAAAATCACAACAACAGGTAGACTACGGTTCTAAAACTGTGCAGAAAATCGATGTCATCGTTCCTTCTTTTCACTGATTGGTCCTGTGGAAATTCGTCTTGAGAAATCGAGTTCAGTGGGAGAAATCTCAGGTGAAACAGTGAAGGGAGATGAGAATCAAGTGGAATTATTTAGGAAGCCGAAGTTTTCTCACTGCTGCTTATCAGCAAATTTGTTAATTTAGGATACAAAAACACATCAGACATGGTGTTTCTCAAGGGTACAGTACATATGCAGTGGGGAAAATAAGTATTTGATATGCTGCTGATTTAAAAAAAAATATATATATTTTTTTTTAAGTTTGTCCACTACCAAAGAATTGAGAGAGTTGTATTTTTTTTAACTACACCTTAACAGTGAGAGACAGAATCTAAGAATAAAACAGAATATCACATGGTGTGATTTTTTAGCGTTTTATTGCATGAAATAAGTATTTGATAACCACCCTGAAACTTCATATTTAGTCCAGATATCTTTACAGACATTTCTGTTGGTTTCAGGTCTGGACTGCCTGGGCTACCCAAGGACCTGGAAATGCTTTTTACGGAGCCACTCCTTAGTTACACTACCTGTGTGCTTTGGATCATTGTCTTGCTGGACAATCTAACCAAAACCCATCTTCAGTGCTCCCGCCGAGGGAAGTAGGTTGTTGCCCAAATTCTGAAGAGGTTTTAAAATATATTGTTGGTCAAAAGTGCAGGATAGTTTTAGACCTAAATACTTAAGACTTAGACTTACTGATGAGGTGTGACCTATCTGGACCCCTCAGGGCCGGAGAAACCTGTCTACTCCATGTTCAGAGTGCCGGAAGGGAACAAAGGAAGGCAGCATCAGGTTTCTGTGCGCCTGAGTTCTGGGTCAAACTCCCTGAAAACATGAGATGTTTAGGAAATGTTTTATTTGTTTGTTTGTTTGTTTTTTGATAAATATTATTGTTCACAGCAATTATTTCTTTATTTTAAATTCACATTCTATGGTTTTCTTTCTATGTAATGCCCACATTATTTTGTCATTGTTGTAATGTTTTATTTCACTTACAGTGCTATATGTTGTTTTATTGTCCTTTATTCTGTAAAACTTTGAATTGCTAAGTACAAATGACAGAAGCTTGTTGCCGTACTTGTCAAGTTACCTTTTTCTTTAAAGTATAAAAAAATAAACGGCATCAAAATAAAACTTTATTAGACCAATCCCAGTGTTTGAGTAAATGTACTTCCCCTAGACTGAAAAGGGTTGGCCTTGAAGCCTTTTCCCACAAGAGATAATGCAAATATGTGGTGTTATTTGATAATATATCGCAAGACATATTTGCATTTTCTTATCCAAACAGAACAGTCCTGTGCCAGGTTCTTGATAATGTCCTTCTTAATAAGATTTTAAATTGTTGTTTTTTTTCTTTATGCACCAGTGCATATCTTAACTCTCCATGCGACAGGATCTTGTTGCAGCATAATACTGACACAGTATCTGACACAAGTCCCAGCTTCTCTTGTTCCATCTTCTGTTGTCTCCTCCTGACAGGGGTATCAGGTTTTTCAGCCTAATGGTTTCAGGCATAGCCACGTCCATGTTTTCATTATTTGCTAAACCAGCAAGACATGTACACATAAGCCAGGGCCAAAGGGTTTGGATGTTCTTTTTCTTTCTAAATGACATAAAAACAGAGAGCTGTTTAACTTTAGTACTTGACGGGAATCCATTACTTTACACTGACGTTCTAATGATGAATACGTCAAGGGGTCCTACAGACTTTACACACACACATATATATATATATATAATAAACATTTACAGACTCAGATCTCCAAAATTTGCTGGCAGATGTTTCAATCCGGAATATGGAACTTGACAATTTCAGAGACATGAAGAACAACAATAGGAGAAAGACACAAGAAAGAAAACGGGAAACATTGAGAGGGGAACGTTAGGGAAGATTGCGGGAAGAAGACAAAAAGGACACATCGAAGGGCAGCATGGATAACAGGAAGGATAGAAGAATTGGAACATGATGGAGACAAGGGAGAAATGAAAAGATGTGATGGAGAAAGAAACAAATAAAGGACAAATAAAAGGAGAGACACATCATGGAAGGACGGAAGAAGCAAAAGGAAGGATAAAGATAAAGAATTAAGACAGGACACAAAGAATGAATGAAAGACACAAGAAAGAAAGGATAGAACAAGTGTCAAGAAAGTGGGAAAGGATTAAACACAAATTGGAGATAAAGAAATGTTTTAGAAAATAGGTTAAATAATAAACTACCGTGTTGTAGTTTTTTCCATGTATGTTGACCTGGGGAAAAAAATCAGTTGCATAGTTTTTCTAGTTTACACGTAGGAACCCTTATTACGAAAAATGAAGTGTTATGAAGGTAAGAGTTTTCAAAAGTATCCTGCTGGTTACGGATTACATTTCCTTCTCATGTTACATGACTGAGGGCAAGACAATGATTCGCTGAGGAGCAGCTCGTGCTCTCTCCTCGTTGGCTGGATTGTACACGTCAGCAGTCAATAACTTGTATCACCGTTCTGTCATTCTCTTCCTGGTATTACCGTGTTGACACTTCACTCTTCACTCGGTTAAGTGTGTCAGCTTCTTTTTTGGAAATTCACAACAAAGAGATGACTTGTGTGAAGTTTGTTTGTTTTTTTTCTTTCTGAAATTTTCTTTCGCTCCATAGGTTCCTTCTGGGAGCGACTGCTTGGGGAAATGACTTGGTTTTCCAGTGGAAAGACGGCCGTGTTGGAGAAAAAGGTTGCGCTCGGATTATAAGAGAAAAAGTCACGCGGCGTTTTGGGGCTTCCTTTGAAGAGCCGCACCAGGAAACGGAGGGTCGCGGCGCGGCGGGGACTTTTAACGATGCAGACTCGCGCGAGGAGGTGAATAAAAGCCATATCTGCTGAAGTCCAAAGTTTGCTTTCAGGAAGGAAAATATGAGGTTTCGGCTGCTCAGACGGAATCTGCTCCTGCTGCTCGGAGTTATCTTTGTACTTGTGACTCTGTTGTTTTCAACACGTGTGTTAGTTTCTGAAGAGGACACGACACCATACAGCACCAGTAATGGAAATCGGGGAACGAATTCTTGCGAGATATTTAACTTCGGCTCTGTGTCAGAATTGACTCGGTCCGTTTACAGTGCCAATTACAAGCAGTGTGTCCATAATGCAGATAGGTTTCCTGGGGAGCCCCAGCTGGTGCTGGTTGTGCAGGTTCACAACAGGCCCGAATACCTCCGGCTCCTCATCAGGTCACTGGAGAGAGCTGCTGAGGTGCACAGTTTTCTCCTTATCGTCAGCCATGACTATTTTTCACAGGAAATCAACACAATTGTGCAAGGGATAACTTTCTGCAAGGTACTGCAGATTTATTTCCCCTTCAGCACCCAGCTGTATCCCAAAGAGTTTCCTGGGCAGGACCCACGAGACTGTCCCCGAGACATGTCCAAGGACATGGCTCGGAAAACAGGATGCCTCAATGCTGACCACCCTGACTCATATGGACACTACAGGGAGGCCTTCATCACTCAAACCAAACACCACTGGTGGTGGAAGCTGCACTTCGTTTGGGAGCGAGTTCGGGTGATGCAGGGCTACAGCGGCTTTGCCATCTTCCTCGAGGAAGACAACTACATCTTACCAGACTTTTTCCACTTTTATAAATTAATGATTGAGTTTAGGAAGACAAGTTGCCTAGACTGCGACATGCTGGCTTTGGGCAACCACAATGGTGTGATAGATTTCACCAGCATGTCTGATAAGGTGTTGACCTCGGGATGGATGTCGACAAAGCACAACATAGGCATGGGCATCTCTAGGGAGGTTTACTACAAGCTCATGGGCTGCAGCAATGACTACTGCACCTACGATGATTACAACTGGGACTGGACTCTGCAGTATCTGTCCGGAACCTGCATATCAAAGCCCCTTAAGGTGCTGGTTGCACAGGGCTCCAGGGTTCTACACACCGGAGACTGCGGTCTCCACCAGAAGGACAACTGCAGACCAGAACAGGCCTCGCAAAAGGTAGAGGAGAACCTTCAGAAGGCCAAGGAAGGTCTCTTTCCTCCACGCCTTGTCCTCAGTAGGGCGGAGCCAGTGGAGCACAAGGCACACATGAAGAACGGAGGTTGGGGAGATGTCCGAGACCATGTTCTATGCAACAATTATTCCAAACGTCTATGAGCTCCGCCTTTTCATCAATAGTCTACAAATGTGCCATCTTGAAGAACCTTCCATGTGTGTCTCGGGATGTAATGGATTTTGGGTTCTTTCTCTCTCAACCACCAAAGTCATCACCTAATGACTATGGGACAAAGTGCAAAGTTGCATGCTGGTCATATCTGAACTTTAATTTTTCATTTCACCAAAGTTCCACAAGTGCCAAAGTCTTTACATTGTGACTGCAAGCTCAGCCTTTTGCGTTTCTGTCTGCCTCACAAGCCAAAGCATCCGGAGATGTGATTCAATGTTGGATTAAACAGTATCAAGAGGGTACATTTTGTACTGATTTAACTTCCTCTCAAATGAAAAACCTTCATATTCTGTTTATTTGTATGTTTCTAGGGAAACGTTTGAGGAACAATTTCTGCTTGTGTATAGCTGTTTAGGGGAAGATGTTTCCATATGTTTGTGATGGTACAATTGTAAATCAGATAACATAGAGGCAAATGTACAAACTTGGTTTCAAAAATGTTCATCTACCTTCATCAAATTTGATGAATTTTGGGGTTTGTTCATCAGTTGTTGTAGTACCTTATTTTGTTCACCTCATACAATATGTATCGGGTAATGTGAACTGTTTTCTGTACTGGACAATTGGGGCGTTTTTGTCCTTTTCCTATTGTATTGATCTCCAGTTAGAGAACCAGAAAGTACTTTTTTCTTATGCTCTTATTTACTTTCTGATAGGCCAAAAAGTGACCTTTTGGAACCAGGATTTTGGTTCTGCAAACATCAGGATCACCTGCAATGCTGCTTTTCTATATTTGCACCTTCTATGTTCACAGATTGATTTTTTTAAAATGAGAACAGAATGAACTAAATGAGAATTTTATTTAAGACAAAAAATAATTTCCTTCTGTTTCATTATTTTTTATGTAATTTTGTTTTTGCCTTCAATCTGACCAAAAGTGCCTTGTTTGGAAATTTCTTCTTAAAATGCACTGACTATAAAAAAAAACTAAGTACTTAAAACATATTTACAATTTTGGGAATTTTTTTTTCTTTTGGGATATTGTTTTGGTTCTGGTGGTTTTATTCATTCAAATCTAAATGGTGATTTATGGTTAAAGCGATTTGGTTGGGGCTTCTTTCCTAACCCTGTTTTGGTGCACCTGATTTGTAATGAATGTGATTGTGAAATGAATTTCTGCTTGTGTTTTTGCTGACAAGAACATCTCGATGTCAACATTGACGTTTGGGAGAGATGATGATGACAATCCAGTGCACAAATAATAATTTCCATTAATTTTGTGTATGAGCTTATTAATGACAACTTCTTTCTTGAGGATGAATCAATGTTTTTCTTTGGTCACTTTTTTTCTATTTGTTTTGATCATCACTTGAAGTAGCTTGACATTATTTGTTAGATGGGAAAAATGCTTGTGAAAAACATGAACTTTCATAATTTCTTCAAAAAAATGCTAATAAAAAGTTTGTAAAGTGACATTGCATGGTATTTTTCTTTTAAAGCACCTCAACAATAAAAAAAAATCTGGGTTCAACTTGCGGCCTGTTTTCATGAAATTTTAGAAATATGTTGAAAGACTTTTTAAAATAAGAAAATGTTTTATTGGCTAAAACATATTTACAGACAGTACTCCACTATTTGAACCGGGTAAAGATAAAACTGCCACTTGTGGATTTTTGGGTAGAACATATTTATGGACAAAACTGTTTATATCTTAAACACAAACTGTTTACATGATTTGTACAGTTATGGCTTAATTATTGTTCTGAATATATAGTTTTTTTTCAGCAACTGGCCTTCTTGGCATTGTATACTCAGGCTGGCGATTAATTTCAACAATCGATTCATCATGATTAATCCGATTAATGTTTCAGTGTAGTGTTGCTTTTTATGTGGCAACACGAGAAATCAAGAAAAGGGAAGATCATAGCACAAAAATGAATGGGGGAAAAAAGAATCCAAATAAGTTACATTAGTGAGTTGAATTGTGCTGAGAGAAAAAATGCTTTGTTGAAACAAGATAGAAACATAGGGCAACTCAATTTTGTGAATACACTCAAATTATAGCAATGGCTATTTGTAGTATATGATAATGAGAATAATCAAAATATACAAAACTAGTAATTATGTTGAAATCAATAACCATACAGACTATGGCTGCATATGTGCCTAGTTGGTTAAAAGGTGAAATTCTAAAATAGAAAAAAAAAAAGGATCATGCAGGTCAGGAAGAGTTGTTATCTGTTTGGCCTCAGTTTATAGATTTACAGTTTACAATCATTCATGAACCCAATTTTTGTTTAATGTTATATTGTCAATAGAAGTAAATGACTAATTTTAGAAGCACAGTATCTAATTACATTTATTACATAAGGTATGTTTAATGTGCTAGAAAAGGAAGAAACCCTTAAAATTATAACTGTTAAAACTGTACTATAAGAAAAACTCCTTCCAAACAAGAAATGCACTGCGTATTGTATTTTACATGTCAAAAGCCATACGGAACCCTCCTAAAATGAGTAAAAATCTGAACTGCTATATTTTGCTCCAGTATGTCACGTGACAAGACCGCCAGTTTTCATTGGTCTGCCTCTGTTTCGTGTTTATTTCCGGAAGTGAGTTAGTTGTCACTGTCAGACTTTCCAGGCAACCAAATCGCTAACCTACGGCGACGCATTGACAGGTAAACAGTCGAAGTTTAGCTACAGTCAAACCAGTTTGGGTATATTTATAAAGCCATCTGAAAACTCTGTGTTTGCCCTAACGAACTATTCCTGCTTGCGGTTGTACATTTAGCCAGTTAGCCAGTTAGCTGTGGTTGCTCTCTGTTAGCTGACGTCATGGACTTTTGTCTTTCCGTAGTAGGGAAAAATAACACAATTAGACACAGTTCATGACTGGAACAATAGTATGGGTCTTTCTGTGATTCGAAGTATGTTTGAACTGACGTGAAAAGTGTTTTATCAGAGTGCTAACATGGTGAGATGTAGCCACGACGTCGTAAAAGTGACGTCGGAAGCCTTCTCATTCGCTTACAAACGTCGCGTGTTGGAGAAATAATCAGTGAAACGAGCTGTTTACGAACTAGTCTCCATTCTAGCCACACAGCAAGCGTGTTCGTGTCATTAACCTGTTGTCACTGTGTTGTAGCCTTCCCTCTGTAGGTGTGCCCCTGTCCACATAATGGCCCATTGGTTTCACAGAAACCCACTGAAGGCAACAGCGCCGGTGTCCTTTAACTTCTATGGTGTGGCAGGGAGCCCGGCTGCCAACAAGATATGCAAGTAAGTCTAATGTTCACCAGCTGAAACAGAGCAACGTTATCACCGAACATGTTCCTCTGACAGGTTACTGTTAAACTTAATATACAACACTTTGGCGTTGTTTTGATTGTACATGTGGGCTGATCACCTAAATGTTACAGCACACTCAACATGGACATAAAATAACCACAGAAAACTGAAAGATACATCGATACACAGACATAACAGTAAGACCTCTACCAGGTTAAAAAAATGCAAGTGTTTATCAGTTCACTGTAATAATTGGTAGTGGTGGGACATTAATTCAGAAATATTAGATGTTGTACAAACATGTAACGCCTCAATAATAATAATAAAAAAAAGATGAACAAAGGTTAGAAAACGAACAAATCAGAACTTATGTAATAGCTATTAAAAGCTCCACAATTCTAGAAATATTAATAGAAATATTAGGCAGCAAGGAAATATTTAGTAATAAACAAGATGTTGTTCAAGCAGGAAAAAAGTGACAGGTGTAAATATTCAAGAGGGTTTGATTGGTGTTAAATCATAATGGTGTATCGACTCGGTTCCCGGTCTGTATCGGCCCATGTTAGAGTTACACAACATGTTCTGGACGCGTCGTCACCACAGTTCTAAAGCTACAGTGTGCAACTTTTATATAAAATGTATATACTTTTTACACATTTGTCGAAACTATCACCATGTTGTTACAGTGTGGTATGAGACAGACTGTCTGTGGAAAAAATGTAGCTTCTCTGCTTTTTCCCACTACTAACTAGAAGCAATCAGTCAGAGACTGGAGCCGGGTCTTAGTGCTGTCAATTACAATCTTGTGTGGCGCTGCTCATCCCTTGTCCTTTTCTCTGTTTGCTCTCTTCTAAGCTGCAGTTTTTTTCCTGTCAGCAGAGTCTGTCATGAATGCTAAGGCTAGTTAGCACAGCCACCTTTGACAGCGGATAAACAATTTTTCTGTAGCAGTAAGTTGTTTCTCCACCATTAGCACATTTAGCAGCGAATACACAAGGTTCAATATCAGCGCTCAGACCCTCTTGGCTCTAATTGGTTGGTTTTGGTTGGGTGCATTTCTTCATATGGAAATAGTAGCACCGGAAGCAGGTGGAGGAGATTGATCTTTTCACACGTTATCTGTCTCATTCCAATCTTGTCAAGATATAGTATTAATTTCAAGAAATATGTAAAAAAAATAAATAAATAAATAAATAAATAAATAAATACACATGTATATATATATATATATAAATATATATATATATATATATATTTTTTTTTTTTCTTATAAAAGTCACATTTAGCAGCTTTAATGTGAGGATTCTTTTAGAAGGCAACAATTGTCTACTAAAGTTGCAGATTTTATGAGTTTGTATTGCATATCCATCATCATTGTAGCAAATTGTTATCAACATTATCCTTGACACTGTGGTAAACATGAGACAAGGGGACCAATCTACACCATGCTGGGCAGTTCAGAAAGGAAGTGGGAGGATTCAGATTTATGCCCAAAGGGCTCAAACTGTACCGATCCTGTAAACACAGACGGCTCATTTCAGTAATGGCCGAAGCCGCTCTACCAGGAGCAGCTCCTGTTCCTGTTTCTGTCTCTCATTATATCAACACGGACATCTTCAGATGCTCGTGTGTTTCTGTTTATCAGACTCACAGACAATCATCAATGTTGAGCTGAATCGCAAAATAAGGAAGACATTTTTAATGTCCCCGTAGTCTGCTCTGAAAGCACCCTTTATCACCGCCTGTAGAGGTTTTAACCAGAAATAATTTGAATAAAAAAACCCAACCACAAGTTATTGAATCCTCTTCATTTGGTAATGGAAGTCAAGGGGAAAATGACAGTGATAATAATAGTGATAATATTTTTTGAAATGTAAGTAATCCAATGTGATAAAAAGTGTTGATTTAACGGACGGTATCAGTAGAAGCCGTCTTTTTAAAAAGTAACAACTTTTCCTCACTTAGAGCATAGAATATTGCTTTGTTGCCCCTCCCCTACCTGTTACTGAACACTTCAGGTAGCTGTAAGGTGGTGATTATATTAACTATGTTCTTACCAAGTACAAAGATGAGGTAAAATATTTCCAGTTGCAAAATGCAGATGATCAGAAGAGCCATCCATCACTTTTATTAAGGTAGCACTGTTTTAAAACTCCAGCTGGTAAGCTGTTCTTCATGGAAATCAATCATGTAATGCATTTTTGTTTTAAAAAGAATTGTGGTGATACTACCATCAGTCAAGCTGTGCTATTTTTACTTCAGGTTATCATACCATCATGAGCCTCAGACCTGCCCATGTCTGGTACAGCAGGTGTTTCATAACGCTGTGGAAACTGACAGATATAATGGTGCTTCTTAGTATTTTTTTGTAAATTCTTTTAAATCAATTAAATTTGGTTTATTTCTATTGCGCCAATTCACATCAAACCCTAACCCTTCCCAAGGCACTTTACATTTTAATTCGGTCACAATTGATCCTAGATGTCAAACAGAGAAGTTGAATCGATTATTCATTCTTGAAGAAAGGCTGTTGGTATTTGAGAGACAAGATCATCAGCTGATTTCTGTCTGCGTGATGCGTTTAGTGACCTGAGGACGACCAGAGCGAGGCTGCTGGAGATGTTCACCGACTCCACCTGCACCCCGGAGATCATGAAGAACGCCTCGGACGTGTACTTCTCTCTGCTGCAAGGCAAGTTCACTCACGTCGGCCATGTTGTTTTCAGCACATTTTTCTATAAACGGACAGTTATTGAAAGGAAATAAGTGTAGAGGACTGTTTTTGCCTCTCAATGTTGCATATTGGCTCTGTCTTTTTTTTTTAAATAAGAAATTGTAAAAACACTCTCATCGTAATTTTTGTTTCATATAGCTGTGTCACAGTATCAAACTTTGCTGGGCGATAAATTGTCCAAGAAGTTATTGCCATAAACAATTATATTGTGGTTTTGAGACCGTTTTCAAGTAACATAATGATTATGGCATAACAATGCAAGAACACATTTTAAAGATTTATAAACTTGAAATTCCAACAAATATTTAACACTGGACCTGTAAGACATTTTCAATATCCAAAATAAATAAAAAAAGAAGGAAAACAACAAATAAAATAAATGATCAAGTCCTTCAAAAAAGGGCTAGTTGAGACCAAAGCACCAGACTGAAGACTTTTGTCATCCAGTT